CTTTGAATTACCATTGTGTATGAAATGTGCTATACAAATAAACTCCTGGAACCGGTTCTTTGCCTGGGCCAAGTATGCCCAAAACTCTTCCAACAGCTTGACCAAGCATCAGGGTCCTTAGCCCTCAGGAGCAGGCCGTAATGTCACAAATACACCAGGCTCCACTGTCACCCCTTCGTTATGATCCATGTCACCTAAATACTAATAACCAGCACCCATCATTCATCATCGCACTAATCAAATCACCATTTAAGCAAAGTCCTCAGCCTCAGTCTTTGTCTGGTCTCCAAGGTGGAAACACGACTGCTTACCTGCAATCTACTTCTCTGTGATAACTATCTCAGATGGTTCCTGCTCCAAAGCTCCTGGTACTCCTCTCCTTCTCTGTGGTCCAGCATCTCAATCCCACTGTGCACTGCCCCATTCACAGAGGAACTCACCTGGCACTGTGATCCGCACTCACCATCCCGTTATCTTGTCATCAAGTTATTATAATGTTTATAATGACATGCAGATACTGACAGTACATACATGTATACAGTGTCAAATCTGTGAAATAATGTGCTTTAGTGCAGTATGCTTTAAATTAAATCAGTAAAACTGGGGACACGCATTGCTCATAAATGGCATTGCCTCCTCAGAATTACCCAATTGCAAGCAAGTAATGACTGTTATAATTTGTGTTTTCGTTCTTTGGCAGTGTATTGTTGTTTTGGATAAATGCACAAGCTTGATTTGATTTTACAATTCATAAATGCATTTAGTCATTAGGAACTGCTTTGCTTATTTAAAACCTAGTTCATTGCTTGACATTTACATGCTAGTCGTTTCAAAGCAAACAATCGCAGGGAAAGTCCCCATCAGACCAGTGCTTCTCTAAATCAGTTTAGTTATACAGGAGATTGTCATGCATAAATTATTTAAGAGCATTAGGACATGTTTGAAGATTTATTGAAGCCGTTTCAGCACTCATCCCAGAGGCTTCATGTGAACGATGGATGCTTCAGTTTCCATCTAAACGTTTCTTCTCACACACGATGTGATTTCGCATTGAATGGGGAAACTGCTGGTTTGAGATGAAAGGACAAGCGCGTAGGTGGCTGGTGTTGCGGTGAATTCGTCTTTAGATTAGGAAAGTGTGCTTAAATATATATTTTTGAAAAGGAAAATATACTTATTAAGGCGTGAAATAAGCAACCACAGCAGAAAAGCCTAAACACAATGGAAGGAGCAGGAAAGAGGTGGTTTGTTCTGTTTCGTTTCACTCTGATGTGGCTGATTGTGTGAGTTAGTCTGTGCCTCAGTGGACCTTTATACATCTGCTACGGTTTAAATGGTTTCCAAGACACGAAAGGTGAACACTAAAACAGCAGCAAAGGGTCATTTGTACACCTCAGATTAATTTTCGCAGAAGTTCAGCATAGCATCTTTAAGTCCATGTCATACATCCATGAGTAAAAAAAAAAATCGATAAGCCTTAAGCAGTTTTCTGGGATGTTGTATTATAATTATATATTCAGAAAGCAGTTCATAAATTCATATCAATTTGGAGCCTGCATGGAATATTTGTTCTGTACTTTAAAAAAAGCCCAAATGGTTGCAGCATCTAAAAATATAACCTTCCCTTAATGCCAGTATATACATCTGAACTTTAACACTGAGGTTTTCAACTACTCTCAGCACAAGCTAACTGTTAATGTTAAAGTGATTATTAACCATGAAAAGCTAATTCTGTGCTCATCTATTAACGGTCGCTCAAAGAACCATCACACACTGTTAATGGCACTTACTGAAATGTCTTGTTTTGAGGGTAGCACTTTGTCTTAGGAAGCAAGGACTTTTACAGCCCTATGTTCGTAGAGCTTTAAAATATGTTTAAAAGTTCAGAATGATGTTCCACAGGATGCATCTTCTGGCTGCATGGATTGGCTCATTTTTTCTGCCATGACAAACACCAATAACTACTGTTTTAAAGATTCAGACTAGTTTGCATTACGTATATTCAGCAGTATAGGCCTACTAATAAATATACTTGGTCACACTTTATTTTAAGGTCCAATTCTTGCTATATATATATATATATATATATATGCTGATTATTTAAGAGAACATAAGGGTCTTTATATTATTTTCTTTTGAAATAATTTTCTAGTATTCTATTATTAGCCACCTACAGTAATGAACAGAAGTTTCACACATAAATGAATGCCAGATAAACCGTTCACACTTATTTGAGAGTTGTTCATGTTTACTGTGTGCATTTAGTTTAACAGTGTTAAAGAGGGCAACGCATGCATTTGAAACACTTAACACTTTATGTTCTTGCTCTGTCCATGCAAATAATCATGTTCATGTAATGTGGTCAGGGGTAGTCAAAATTATGATTTAAAATCAGCCAGAGCTAAAAACTTCATATTTACAGCTACAAGAGCAGACTACTTGAACCATAACACATTTTATATACAGCGCAAAACATGTTTTGAAAGAGAATTATTGTCATTAACCTATAATAGCTGTTAAAATGCAACACAAAAACATTTGATATTACCAGAATTTATTGATTTATCTAATAATTTCCAAATAAAAATTATGCTTTAAAAAGTCCCATCTTGATGAGACGAGAATGAAATAATGCAGCGCTTTATTGGTCAGTTTGGTAATGATAATACACCTAAATAACCACATGTTTAGGACAGGGTTAATAATTTGAGAATAGGATTAAAACTCATATTTGTTGACTACTGATCTCAGTATTAAAACAATTTAGATGAGGCTTTCTCATTTCCCCACATTAAACTTTGCAAAATTAGGTTTTTGTTTTTCCTTATATACAAATCCTTTTATATGTACAGGAATCCACATGTGTAAAAACGAGTGAGACTGTCCACATGCTTAGTTTGTTGTGTAGGTTTACAGCGGCTGGTCATGAGGATCATTCTAGCAGAGCTTCTGGACGGTCACAGGGTAGAGGAGAGGAACGGCGATGCCCTGGTCCGGTTTCTCAAAGGCGCTGATCAAATTCTTGACTTTTCGGAACAAGCGTTTAGTTTGACCTGGTGCTGTCTGCAAAAAATAAACGAGTAAACAAATAAACAACAGCAACAAAAACATTTCTTTGCAAGGAGTTGGTGAACTTGTATGTTAAGCGCATGAAAATAATGTTGCCCATATTGTTTTCTTTATTTCATCTATATCAGATCTGTAGCTATAATGTCACGTAGTTTCAAGATGAGATGTTAGCTTTATAAAACAGCTCATCTCTGAGGCAGATGGTATGCTGAGAGATTTCTCTCTGTATAATCACTCTTTTCAATCTCACCTCATATCTTTCCATGCCTCTATACGTTTGACTCATTCTCAGAAAATACACAGCTGTGTGTTATAATTATTACTGACAGATAAACACAATATCATTTTCCATTGTACATGCAAAACCTTAAATATAAAAAATAAATATGGAAATATGGAATGTTTGCATGGCATTAGAAAATCAGGCAATTTCTGTGTCTCTGTGTGTGTGTGTGTGTGTATATATGTATATATATATATATATATATATATATACATTTATAAAATGATGTCATAACGGTTTACTTATTTGTTGTACAATGTTGAATGTAGACAAAAAGCATGTTTCAAAAGAGAAATGTCATGGGCTATTACTATTTATTTCTTGAATGTAGACAAAGATGGGATATTACGAAGTGTAAGGGGTAGCGAATTCCGTAATTTCGGAGCATTAACACTAAATGTCCTACCACCTACAGTGGACAGCCGAAAACGAGGAATGGACAAAAGACAAGCTCATATGATCTGAGAGACTGGGCAGGAGAATAGGAGTACAGTAGGTCAGACAGATATGGAGGGGCAAGACCATTTAATGCCTTAAACGTTAGAAGTAATATCTTAAAGTGAATACGTGATGCCACAGGTAGCCAGTGAAGATCACGCAGTAGAGGAGTAATGTGAGCAGAACGCCTGGTGGAGGTGAGAACTCTTGCTGCTGAGTTTTGAACATACTGTAACCTTGCAATAAGTTTTTTAGGCAGACCAAGAAATAGAGCATTGCAATAATCCAGACGTGATGTGATTAATGCATGAATTAAGATTTCAGCATCAGCTAGAGTTAGAGAAGATCGAAGACATGCAATATTACGAAGATGGAACATTTTCAGTTATATTAATGTGTGATGTTTTTGCATCAAGTACAATTCCAGCCTTTATGTGACAGGGTTGAAGTATTTTTTTAAGGTTATACCACATATTTGGGTTTCGTAGCAATGTCACAAATTCAGACAATTTTAAAACAAACTTTTACATTTTAAAACAAACTAATAATAACATAAATATTAATAGCAATAATAAAAAAATCAAGAATCTATGTCCCTGGAAATTTCAGGCACAGATGGTTTCCTGAGGATGACTCATGACTGATTTGCATTCATTCTGTGTTTGAGCAGATTATTTTATTCATCTTTAAACATTAATCACATTTAAATACAGACTCAAAACTCATCTGTTTAGCTGTGCATTTATTGAATGAGCACTGTGCTACGTCCAAACTGATTGCACTATATTGTATGCATAATCGTTTTCTATTCTTAACTGTTTTAAATTTATTTTAAACCTCTAAATCAATTTTGTTATCATTTTTAAAGTTTTTAAATTCCTTGTTTTATTGTTGTGATTATTTTTTTCTTTTCTTTTATGTAAAGCACTTTGAATTACCATTGTGTATGAAATGTGCTATATAAATAAACTTGCCTTGCCTTGCCTTACAAAACCCAATTATAACTTACAAATGAGGAAGCACACAAATACTACAATTTATTAATTATGCAAAAACTAATAATTGTAATTGGGCCAATTATTAGTCATAAAAATGTTCAAAAGTAGATAATTTCAGGACAATTCAGAGCTGGCGTGTTTTAAATGATAGTATCTGCTGTTGTGTATGAGGTTTGCGTCTCTATATGTTTGATGTTTGTCGCTCACCTCGGCCGCCCAGGAGCCCGCCGTGTCTCTCTGGAGCCGGTATGTGTAGACGAAACCATTACACCTGCGGCACAAATCAGATCAGGTTAAAAACACAGGCTAAACTTCACGCTACACTGGGAAAAACAATGCTACATTCATACATTATAAATAAAACAGAGTACTTGAGTATGTTGTACAAGAAAGTATTTTTTCAGTTTTCTCCTTTAAAATTTCATAGTTCATTTAATGTGTTATTTGCCATTTCATTGCAAATTTCTTAGCAATTTCTGAGTGAAAATTTACTAGCAATTTCTGAGAAATAGAAAGAGTTCCTTCACCTTTGTTTTCAGTGTATTGTTCGTTAACTTGAGTGACACATTTGAGCCTAAATGAGAAAAAACAGAGATTTCTGGAGGACTTACAGAACGCAGAGGCAGTATGCGCCAGGAATGCTCTCACTGTCTCGAATTAAATAGCTGCCGTCTTTGCCCGCTTCACACAGACGCATCTCGCACGTCTCTCGGCTGATGGCCCCGTGATACACAGACAGTGATTCCATTGTGCTGCATGCATTGTTTCTCAGGCAATCACTACACGCATGTGATATTTGTCCCTTGAGCAGGAAATGATGAAACCAGGCAGGAAATAAGCACTTCAAAAAATAAGGCACAATTTCTGCAACAATAGCAAAAGCATGCAAAATGTCAGGTGAACATTAGAGAATGTAGTTTCAGATATCAGGCCGCACCCCTAATGTTCGAGTTTACAGATTAAACTGCACAACTGTGTGTGAAACTGTTAATTTCTAACATTTTATTTCAGACAATGCCTCTTTAAAAAAAACTCTTTATGTTTCACACATCAGTTCCACACAATAAACGGTTTAAACTAGTATAACTGTTTTTGATAATATAATAGGCCACAACTTGGGCTCTGCAAACAAAATGTCATTTGTTTTTGGTCGGGATAATATAAAAGCCTTCAGAAATCAAACATAACCCCAAGTATTTATTCAATACAGTTGCTAAATTAATGAAAAATAAAGCATCAACAGGTGTTGACATTTCCCAGCAGCACAGCAGTAATGACTTTATGCACTACTTTAATTCCAAGATCGGTACTATTAGAGATAAAATTGTAACCATGCAGCCGTCAGCTACAGTATCGCATCAGATAGTGTGCTATAGATCGCCTGAGGAACAATTCCACTCATTCTCCACTATAGGAGAGGAAGAATTGTATAAACTTTTTAAATCATCTAAACCAACAACATGTATGTTAGACCCTATTCCATCTAAGCTCCTAAAAAAAGTGCTTCCAGAAGTCATAAATCCTCTTCTGGCTATTATTAATTCATCATTGTCATTAGGATATGTCCCCAAAACCTTCAAACTGGCTGTTATTAAGCCTCTCATCAAAAAACCACAACTTGACCCCACAGATCTAGTTAATTATAAACCAATCTCGAATCTCCCTTTTCTGTCCAAGATACTAGAAAAGGTAGTATCCTCACAATTGTATTCCTTCTTAGAGAAAAATGGTATTTGTGAGGATTTCCAGTCAGGATTTAGACTGTATCATAGTACTGAGACTGCTCTCATTAGAGTTACAAACGACCTGCTCTTATCATCTGATCGTGGTTGTATCTCTCTATCAGTGCTACTGGATCTCAGTGCTGCGTTCGACTATCGACCACAACATTCTTTTGAATAGACTAGAAAACTTTGTTGGCATTAATGGAAGTGCATTAGCATGGTTCAAATCGTACTTGTATGACCGCCATCAATTCGTAGCAGTGAATGAAGAGGTATCATATCGATCACAAGTGCAGTATGGAGTACCTCAAGGCTCAGTACTAGGGCCGTTACTCTTCACGCTTTACATGTTACCCCTGGGAGATATCATCAGGAAACACGGTGTTAGCTTTCACTGTTATGCTGATGATACTCAGCTCTATATTTCTTTGCGGCCCGAAGAAATATACCAATTTGAAAAACTAGCGGAATGCATAGTCGATATAAAAAACTGGATGACGAGTAATTTCTTACTGTTAAATTCTGGAAAAACAGAGGTGCCAATTATCTGACCTAAAACCTCCGCATGTAATAACCTAGAACACTGTCCAACACTCGATGGCTGCTGTGTCAATTCCACGTCATCAGTTAGCAACCTAGGTGTGCTATTTGATAGCAATCTTTCCTTAGAACGCCATGTTTCTAGCATTTGTAAAACTGCATTTTTCCATCTCAAAAATATATCTAATTTACGACCTATGCTCTCAATGTCAAATGCAGAAACGTTAATTCATGCGTTCATGACCTCAAGGTTAGATTATTGTAATGCTTTATTGGGTGGTTGTTCTGCACGCTTAATAAACAAACTCCAGCGGGTCCAAAATGTAGCAGCTAGAGTTCTTACTAGAACCAGGAAGTATTACCATATTAGCCCGGTTCTGTCAACACTGCACTGGCTCCCTATTAAACATCCTATAGATTTTAAAATCTTGCTTATTACTTATAAAGCCCTGAATGGATTAGCACCTCAGTACTTGAGCAAGCTCTTATTGCATTATAGTTCTCCACGTCTGCTGCGTTCTCAAAACTCTGGCCATTTGATACTACCTAGAATATCAAAATCAACTGTGGGCGGCAGATCCTTTTCCTATTTAGCGCCCAAACTCTGGAATAACCTACCTAACATTGTTCGGGAGGCAGACACACTCGGTCAGTTTAAAACTAGATTAAAGACCCATCTCTTTAACCTGGCTTACACATAACACACTAATACATTTCTATTACTCAAACCCGATAAAGGATTGTTAGGCTGCATTAATTAGGTCAACCACTTCCAAAACACTTCCAATAACACCCGATGTACTTGCAACATCTTTAGAAGAATGGCATCTACGCTAATATTAGTCTGTTTCTTTCTTATTCCGAGGTCACTGTAGCCACCAGTTTAAGTCTGTATCCAGATCAGATGGTCACTGCAGTCACCCGGATCCAGTCTGTATTCAGACCAGATGGTGGATCAGCACCTAGAGAGGACCTCTACAGCCCTGAATGTCAGCGGAGACCAGGACAAGTAGATGAACCCCAGAAACAGATCCCCAGTGAAGACCTTGCCTCCTAGACGGCCACCGGGACAAGAACACAGGAACCAGTTAAGTCCTCTGCACAATCTGACTTTGCTGCAGCCTGGAATTGAACTGCTGGTTTCGTCTGGTCAGAGGAGAACTGGCCCCCCGACTGAGCCTGGTTTCTCCCAAGGTTTTTTCTCCATTCTGTCACTGATGGAGTTTTGGTTCCCTGCCGCTGTCGCCTCTGGCTTGCTTAGTTGGGGACACTTAATTTCCAGTATTATCGTCGACTTGATTGCACAGATACTATTTAAACTGAGCTGGATGTTGACATCACTGAAATCAATGGTGAACTGCCTTTAACTGAAGATTGAGTGTTCACTGTTGTCATTTTGCATTGACACACTATTTTCCTATTTGATACTGTAAAGCTGCTTTGACACAATCTGTATTGTTAAAAGCACTATATAAATAAAGGTGACTTGACTTGACTTGACTAGATGAGATGCATGGGGAGCACATCAGCTCTGTGATGAATGTTGAAGCTTCCTCTATGTTTGAGAGTATTGTATGTGAACAAGGTGGGAAAATGATGATGTATCCTGTGATAGAGCATCCCTGTCACCACATACATCCTGTCTCTCTCTCTCTCTCTGTGTGTGTGTCTTAAAGTGCATGCTGTTGACATAGATATAAACACAGAAACAGATCTGCATTTGCCTCTCGTTTCCCATCTTTACCTCCAGACCCTCCTGTTAGACTAATTTAGTTGAAGACATTTTTGTTTAGTTGAACTAAATACTAGCTGGAAATGTAGAGATGAAGAGACAATTTGAAAATGAAGAGACATAGAAAAACACTGTGGAGATGTTATTGAATTGTATTTATTAGCACAGGGGGATTCATGCAGGCTAAAAAGTTTTTCCAAGAAAGAGACGTTTTTCAGAGATGGTTTACTTCACAGCTACAGCTGGTTCACACTGCTTCCATTGGTCAGTTAACAACTGGGCACATCCAACAAGATCCCATATTACTAAGACAATCAATGCATCGACTGAAAGATTCCGCAGAAGAAAGATGAGGGTGAGTGTGTGACAACAGAATGTACTGTTTTGCCTTTAACAAAACCTCTGATGCTCTGGTGCAACTGTGATATAAGAAGTTGAAATCACACCCAGACAATTGCATCCACAGGTGCATTAAAAGAAGTGTTTATTTCTTCCAATTAATCAAGAGTTCTGGGGCTAGTTAGAGAAAAAAACAAGGTAAGCTATGATATAATGTCACAGAGAGGGCTTGATATAGGGCATATGATGCATGATGATGGCAGGGAAGGAATGCTGTATTTATAGGTATCTGATAGCACTGAATCAGAAGTGGCAGATGGATATGATCAAAGTGCATGGAGAAGACGATGTGCTGTGTTGAAGTCCCAGTCTAAGCATTTGTTTGTTCTGTGTATGATTTTATACTGGATTAGTTATATGCTTTTGATTTTACTCAAACTGAAAGTTCTTTTGCACACTATTTTCTAGAAACCTCTGTCTGTGATGGTGAGCTCTTTTCCCCGTTGTTTTACTGGTAGTGGATGACGCTGCAGTATTTAGACGGAAGCTTGGCAGTCAGTTTTACTCAGATTGATATACTGATCTTATCGCTGTGCTGCTTGTTCTATTGTGTGTTTGTAGATAATATTGGTTTTTGGTCTTTAAATGTCTGTGCCAGCTCTTTAAATTTAATAAAGCTGTTAATATTATGAGATGATGTAGGTACATAATGCATCATTTTGAATCAGTGTGTAAAGTTTTAAGTTATGGCAGCTGTTATTATAATAAAAAAATGTAGTGTTACTTGTTGTAGTGTTTGTTAACTACATATTCAGTTAGCAGGCTCTTTTATCATCCCACCTAAAAAAGATAATGTCCTGGCTATAAATTACCACTACTTATTGCATTAAGTTTACAGACGTTTTCTTTCTTTCCTAAAACATTACACCATGCAATGCGTAATTCAAAATATGAGTAAAACCAACCAATACAGAAAATCCCTTCAGTGTGTTCAGTCCTTCAGTTTCAGTTTAGTTAAAAGCATCATAATTAAGACAAGAATGAGAAAACTCTTAGAATTGCTTGAATTAATTTATGCATGCAGAGTTTTAGTACTGCCTGCTGTAGAGGGCCCTGACACAGTCACTAATGTTAGCCACATGTTTTCTAAACTCTGTGTTTGCATGATGATCATGGCATGACTTCAAATTTAGCAACACACCAATGTTGCCCTCTTGTGGGCTAATTATGCTCATTTAAAAGAATAGTTCAACCAAGCTGAAAATCCTGCTGTCATTTACTCACCTGCAAGACGTTTCAAACTCATGTCCACCTGCTTCAACTTAAAAACTTCAGTTCATTTGCTGCCTTACATTTTTAAATATACTCAAACTGGATATACAAGTCATTTAAACTTAAATTAGATTAAACAGACTTTAGGAAATTGAGTTGAATCTTAC